GCTCAGCTGAAAGTCCGGGTTTTTCGAACATTAGCCCCTGAACGATTGAGCCTAAGGTGTCCTTAAGGCTACCGAAGCAGGTCTTGTCCAGGGGCTGTAAAAATGGGATGTGTGTGGGGGAGGCCAAGTAAGATTATGTTTTCATCTAGTGCTGTTTGGATTGTCTTTACTGATAGGTGAGCCTCGCATTGGTCAAGGAGGAGAAGTACTGGCCTATCCGGAGGGAGGGTGCGGACGTAGTGGTTGCAAAACCATTTTTTCGAAGAGGTCTTTGTCCATGAACCCCCGACTCCGACACTGCGTACAGGGTGTTATCCGGACCACTTTGTGTGTACGCTCCACTGGGAAAGCTCTTCTTGTAAATGAGCATGGGTGCCAATGTTTTACCTTCTGCAGTCACAGCAATGTGGAATGTTACACGGTCTTTTGTGCCAGAGCTTTTGCATGGGACCCCCTTAACCCCTTCGGCACAAGAACTCTCCCCCGATTGACTTCCATCGATATCCCGGTTTCATCACAATTGTGAATAAGATTCGGCTTGTTTTGTAGACGGTTCTCTGCTACGATCTTAGTGTACAACTTGAAGAAATCATCTACCGTCTCCTGGCTGGACATTTTTGCCCTCTCCCTCGACAGGGGGTCTTGCGCCCGGTGGGCTATCTGCGGGTGGCGCTTTTTAAACCCCCTCCACCACTTTCTCCCAGCAACTAGTTTTCCACTTGCCTCGCAGATACGAAACCTGGGGGTTTGCCGGTTGTTTTGCATTTTCTTTGATGGATCTCACCCGCAAGTGCCTTCAGAATGGGGACAGATATGGGGTGTCCCCATTCCGCCATTTTTCCTATGTACTTTTCTAGGCAACTTTCCTCGTCATCCATCAAAACGGTCTGACCACCGGTGGTCAAGGGGTGGAGACCCCTGAGCTGATCTGTTAAGGTTCTTCTTGGAACTGAAAACAGTTTTGATGCCTTGTTGGCATTTGAGCCACGTTTTACTGCATCGATAGCCTGCTGCCTATGCGACACTTCGTATTGCTTGTATGCTTTCACTGGCGTAGTGCCTAGGCCATTGACACAGTCCTGAAGTGTGGCCATACTGAGTCGACTGCCGGAATTCCGCTCTACACAAGGGCTAAATGACAGTCAAGAAAGAAGAAGAAATTATTTATCACTTTGTTTCTAATTACGTATACAGACTTTTAATGTTGATCAAGTCGATTCGACAATTGATAGTGCTTGTTATATTTCTTGAATAAATCCCTTTGTTGTTTTGTGTGGAAACCTTGACTGGTCCAAAGATAGATGGCGAAACGTTTTTCATTGCAATGTACAATGTACTTGCTCTGACTGTCGCTGCCATGCTGCTGGGGCCAGACATCTAAGGTAAGAGCCTTGAATGACTTTATAGTACACAGAGACAGCTTTGGCTCAAAAACTATGAGTCTTCCACCGTGGCACTTTTTCACATCCTGGTGCAGTGTAGTGTGGTGTATATAGTCGACCTAAAAGCTAAATGACAGTCAAGAAAGAAGAAAAAAATATTTATCACTTTGTTGAGAATTAGACTTTTAGTATTGTTTTAATGTGTATGTTACATTTAACGGTGTCCCATCCCTTGAATAAAAACTAAATGTTTTAAGAAGTAGTAACATCACAGATGTGAAAAAAAGATACGTTTGAGGCTGCATATCATTTCGTCGTTACGAGTATGCATTGGTACAGTCCAACCTAAAACATCAAAATTGATGTTGAAATACTAAAACCAATATTGAAGAAGAAAAAAAGTGGAGGTTCGGTATATAATCAGTATGGAAGTAAAGGAAGCAAACGTAATAACCTAGTTATTCAAGAAATATAACAAGCACTGTCAATCGCTGAATCGATATCAAAATATTTCAGATTTGCAACGCCCCCTGCAAATAAAGTGAACCCGTCCTATTCATACCATTGCTCTTTAAAGGTATATCAGGGTCCTAATTTGAGTAAATACTACAGATAACTTAAAGCTTACGAAGTTGATACATCATTTCTTTGTTTGTTAGATATAAATTAGATGTATTGTATGTATTTTATAATTTGTAACTTTATTTTAACACAGTTATACCTATTTATATATTACTACTTCCCCACGTGAATACAATTAGGCGAAATGGTATCTGCCGTGATCACGTGAAGGTCACAATTTGACCCCGTGGGCTGGCAGATCGCCAAGGACGGAAGTTACATGTTGTTAGACCGAAGACGTCGATCGTAAAAGATTCGTGAGGATGATAGCAGACATGTAAGTTAGACGAGGACACTGTTTAGTCCCTGAACCAACGATTCATAAAACCGGTGCGTGTTTTCTTTGCTGGTCAAGTAAAGGAAATTCCGGAAACGTTGTAATACGGCGTCCTTTAGTTTGCTTGCAAATAGGCATCGTACAGCTTGCTTCCCGGTCAATAATTAGACCCTTTAACTTGTTGACGATGTAAACTGGCTTTCACAAAGCTTTAAACTAATTTAAGACTTGCCATTTAAACTTATTTACAAGATTGATAAGAAGATCTTACCTGTTGATGTCTTCATTTTTTACATGGGAAGATTCGAACAGTCGAAAAAGATAGTGCGCGTTCGATCATGAGTCACGCGTTCGAAGTGAAGCAGAGTTGGTAAAATACTTGAAAGTAAATGGTAAAATAAACCACAATACAGAATATTTCAGTGCTCAATCTTTATTGCCCAGTTTAGGAATATGTCTTAGATGATCCCAGATCTAATATTTAGTTTACAGCCCCATTCTGGCGACAAAGAACACGTCGTCATCGTGGGCATGTCGCTGTCGCCAGGTATCTCGCCCAGACGCGCGGATGGTGTTGCGCGTCACACTTCCCATTTTCTTCTCCGTAGATCGTCGCTTGTCTATATATACAAAAGCCTGTGTATGCATATTACACTTTGATGTTCTGTGGTTAGAAGAATCACAAGAATGATATTAAAATCGTTGCTGTATACTTAAGAAAATAATGAAACTAAAAGTGGCGAACTCGGGGTACAGTGGCGAACTCGGGGCCCCCTCCGTTATATATATATGTATGTGTGTGTGTGTGTGCGTGTGTGTGTGTGTGTTTGTGTGTGTTTGTGTGTGTGTGTGTGTATGTGTGTGTTTGTGTGCGTGTGTGTATGTCTGTGTGTGTGTGTGTGTGTGTGTGTGAGAGAGAGAGAGAGAGAGAGAGAGAGAGAGCGTGTGTGTGTGTGCGTGCGTGCTTGCGTATGTGTGTGTGTGTGTGTGTGCGTGTGTGTGTGTGTTTGTATGTGCTTGTCTGTGTGTATGCGTTTTTGCGTGTGTGTGTCTGTGTTTGGAGTTATACTTAAGGTCTAGAATTTATGACCTTACCTACTTTGTTGATTACTTTCGAAAAGAAGATCTTTGTTATTGTGCTTATAAGGAATATTGTGTGTCCTGCCAGGCTGCGTGGATCGCATCCTAAAGTCGGTAGGGGGCGCTGAGACCGTGCTGAAGAACGGGGCGTACTGGGGCGCGTGGATGACGGACCCACAGCAGTCACGTGACGACCAGGGAGACAAGTTTTGGATCATGCCGCATTTTGAAGGTTCGCCTGACATTAACGCAGTCAGACCTGTACTAGTGGTCACCTTTGCAAGAACCAACGGGGCATGGTGGAAATTTTGGTAGTCCTTTTAGATTTCCCCCATTTACAACAAGAGGGCTATTGCATTCCCAAAACATGTTATTCCAAATCATGTTTTGGAATGGACCACGTTTTGTAATGCAGATGCATTTCACTTCGTTTTATTCTAAATCATGATTTGGAATGGAACACGTTTCGGAGGGCCATGAGAGAGAAAAGCCAAGCGGTCCCGGGTTCGAGTCCTGACATGCCACTGATCTTGTGCCCCTGGGAAATGCACTTAACACGACTTCTTTCCTCACTTAACTCAAGTGAAAATGAGTATTGTCCTGTTCTGTATCTGTCCTATGCGTTGGTGGCGGCATAAAATAACTTGAGATAACTAGAGTGTGCCGTCACCATGTTTAAAATGTTGGGATATTTAAAAAAAAAATAGAAAAAAAGCTAATTAGAAAACGTTACCTTTTTTTATCCCAACATCGTAGTCATAATAGTCAGGTTAGACTGCAACTCAAGAACATAAGATACATTTTTGCAATCTTGTTTTTGTTGGGACGTGAATATATATATCTAGAGGAAAAATATTATAATGGGTTACTAGTCTCCATGTTTGCTTCATTGAAGAAATATCAGATATTTTCCCCTAAGTCTGTCTGTCTGTGTGTCCGACTGCGCTTCTAAAGTGCAGTTTTTGGTACGTTCTTGGGGGGGGGGGGTGTCGTCTGAGGGCTTAAGTATGTTGTTATCTCTTAGTTCAGGTTCGTTTCCTCTTCACGCTTTTTATTTTTCCGCACAGGTTTGCACGTGGAAGGATACAAGACCCTCGACGATGTGAAGTGGCGCCGCGACCCCACCTCGTACGAACTGCCGAATTACTACGAGGGCACGGGTCACGTGGTGTACAACGGTTCTCTGTACTACCACGCGGCCGGGTCTCGCACCATCGTCAAGTACGACCTCAACTCTCGCAAAGTCTCGGCGACCACCAACATCCCCAAACTCGGGTACCGCAGTCCCAAGTACCTGTACAAGTACGACTACTCGTACGTGGACCTGGCGGTGGACGAGCACGGTGTGTGGGTGATCTACGCCAGCCCGGAGAGCGACGGCAACATCGTGGTCGCGCTGCTGGACGCCAAGACGCTCCGCGTGGTGAGAACGGTCATGACGAACCACATGAAGAACTCGGCGGGCGAGGCGTTCGTCACGTGCGGCGTGCTGTACGCCACGCGCAGCCCGTACGAGGCCGACACCCTGGTGGACTACGCCTACGATCTGTTCTCCGAGACGGAGCTGAACGTCGGCGTGCCGTTCCAGACCGCGCACGGCATGCTAGTCATGCTGTCCTACAACCCTCGGGAGCAGGTCCTGTACGGCTGGGATAAAGGCTATCTCGTCAGATATCCACTCAACTTCTGAACACGTTCCCTGGGTGCCAGACAAGTTTACGGGCCGCTAACCGTTTCCATCGGCAGCCAGAAGCCCTTCGCCCGCAGACCTAAATTACCGCTGCGGTGGAATTGAGCACGTGGGGAGTATTCGGCCCTTGTAGGGCCAGCCGGGCTAGCTCCCTGGCCGTAGCGGTAATTTAGACCAGCGGGCGAAGGGCTCTTGCGGCCCGGAAAAGGAGTTTGTCTTCCAGGGTACTGAACACGGGGACTTGTTCAAATTCAGGACCTCTTCAAATTCGTGACACAAAAAAACGACCCAAGGGAAAATGTCATGTACGGCTGGGATACATGTAAGACTTAATCTCGTCAGATATCCTCTCATCTTCTGACAATAAGAACTTAGTATAAGGTCAAACTACTTTTAAGTTAAGGATCTGTTCAAAATTGCGACAGTTATAAAAGTTTTAAGAAGATGACGAAAAGTCTTGTATGGCTGGAATGAGGACTATCTCTAGCTCGTCAGATATCTACCCAAGTTATAAAATCGAGTTGCAGATGCAAGTACACAGTAACGCATGAGCGAAGTTTGAAAGTTTTTTCGCACCAAACGAAGTCTACTTGCGAGACTTGTGTGGTACCTTTTTGATACAAGATACAGATCTAACATCTCTTCAAGTTTAAGGCATAGCGTGTATATCATCTTTAAGTTTCTCTTTTTTTCCTAAAAAAGAGATTACACATTGGCCGATTGAGCTGATTTTTCCTCATTTTTGTACAAAGGCTGTACAAATTATGTACGTCTTCATTATTAATTCTTGAATTATAGTGGTTCATTTCGATAATGTTTAGAACAAAGTATGGGCATCATTCTATATGTAAGTTTTAAAATGTATATTCCAGAAGAATATCATTTTAAGGCACCCTTTCCACTGGATGGAAACTGTTGTACGACCGAAATTTGTATGAACTATGATTTTGTACATTGAATATGCTTCATGATGTGTACTTTGAAAGACACGAAAACGCGTAAAACGTACGTAATGCCATTCTTAAAACGTACGTAATGCCATTCTTAAAACGTACGTAATGCCATTCTTAAAACGTACGTAATGCCATTCTTAAAACGTACGTAATGCCATTCTTATCAATAAAATTTATTTTCATCAATAGTAAAATTTTGGTTGCTCAATTGTCGCCATTTTGGTGGAAAGGGGGTGTACCTAGAAATGATATTATGTAAAACATATTATGTAATAGAGTGAATGATGATGAGTCAATGATAACAAATTAACTTATTAACCACACTGCGATAAACAATTAACTATATCCAAACTAACCAATGCAACTAGTGGGCCAAAACAACAATTATGTTTTATCAAGAAAGTTCATCTGTGTTGTTAGTTATATGTTTAAAGTTAAAACTTATGGTCCAACACACAAAAAAAAGTTCTCTCACCTAGAGCTTTCGACCAGTCACTCTGGTCTTCCTCAGTAGACTGACTCAGTGAAGCTTGTCACGTGGCTTCTTTAAAGTGTGACGTCAACACTGGGTCAAAAGTATCTGGTAGACGATGTCGGCCCCCGTCGCGGTTCAATAAAGCTAGGGTGATGGGCCCTGATGTAAATGGCTTCCTTCACCGCTCTCAAGAAATAGTCTTGTTCAGTGTCTAAAATCCTTACAGTGTCAAGTGAAACAAAACGTCCGGTTGACTCTATGTGGATGTGTTGTGATGTGTTTTGTGTTGGACCAAAAGTTTTAACTTTAAACAACAATTATGTTTTTCTTTTGAGCTTGATAGTAAATAGTTTTCCTCAATGGAGACACTTGGTAGGAATCAAACTCACAGCTTGCGTCAGTTTTCAAACGGAAGCGAACTGTCCAATAACCCACTGTTATATATGAATGTGTGTCATTTTATGTTTTATTTACGTGAGCTCTTTAAGTAAGCTTAAGAGTGGAAAGAACTACGCATTGTACGTTTTTATAAAAGCTATTTATTGACACCATCGATGCATTCGTTCATCTTTTATCAGTTACACCGTCCACTCTCATCCCGGCAATATTTTGTTTCTCTAAGATTTTTTCGCCTCTCCTTTTTATTATTTCACACAAAGGGTTACTTACGGTCGGTTGTCTGTGCGTTCGCTTACTGCAGTTTCTGTATGTTCCGCTAGTGAGTCAATTTCTGTATAATGGCCACAGCAGGTAAATTTTATGGATGACATCCTCCGCAGACTCAAAATCTAATGCGATAGGGTGAAAACAAAACAAGGCGGGCCAAAAAAAACAGGATTACTACATTTTCAACCTGTAGTTGATTCTTAGCTTTCTTCATTGCCTTTTTCCCATCCCTCCTTCTTTATCCTTCCATTCCATTCCCTTCTGCAAGCATGTCCAGCGTTCTAACCTTCCGTTCTAAATACCTTCAAACACCTTTTACACCGACAAGAATCTTTAAAAAGAAAAGTTATCAAAAATAAGGAAAACTTCACTCCCCGTGGTGAAGTAAGAACGCTAATCTCCAAGCAGATGTAAGGGTAGCCTGGGTTTCCTTTCAACGTGAACACTCTTCAGACAAACGCACGCGAGAGAGGATGTCTTTGTTTGTTTGTTTGTTTGTTTATTGAGATCTCCATTAGTATGGTAAGCTCCATACTATTCTTCCCGGAGTCCAGCAACATGAAATAAAATAACAAAATAATAATAATAATTACTTTTTAGCAATAATGATAATAAATAAAACATAAAAATTATGCTGAAATTATGAAACTTGAAACAAAATCAGCACAGAGAAATAAGTGCATTGGAGGTCAGAGGTCAAATAATAGAAATATGTCTGAAATGAAAGCAATAATTGATGTACTTTCCAATCAATGCAAAATTGAGGTAACAAAACAGTAAACAAATATTTGAACTGACACAAATAATAAATACATATGAATAACAAGTAAAACAATCTATACGCAACAAAATGTAATTCTTTTAAATTAATAATAATAAGAGATTAAATAAATGACTACAAGAGAAGAGATCTCGCAATGGCTATAAGATGTTTCTAGAATACTAGACCTTCAAGGACAGCTGATATAAAGCTTGATACTGGAATATTTTATCATATCATGAAATGATGTGATAGTAGATCTGTGTTGGTAGTTACATGTTTAAAGTTAAAACGTTTCGTCCAACACAAACATTCTCTCACCTAGAGCTTTCGACCAGTCACTCTGGTCTTCCTCAGTAGACTTATTAGCTTATTAGTAATTGAAAAAAATCTAAAACTAGTTGAAAAAAAAATTATCATATTAGTCTGAGTGAAATTTGAGTTTACTGAGATAATCTTTAGCCCCTTTATGGGTGCGTAAAACAATACAAATACATAAAACAGATATATACATAAGTACAGATTTACATACAAATATAGACTTAAAAATTGATAATTTAAGTCAGAGGTTGACATAGCCATATTGTGATTACACGGTTTATCCTGGTAAGTTCAACAAACGATTGCTGGAAATATTTTATCAGCTTTGCATGTTTCGAGGTCGTTTCCAGCAGGTTGTTCCCGGTAGTTATATGCAGTCATTTCGGAGTGAAACAAACCGGAAAACGTGAGATTGTGGCTGGCTGCGCGGCACGGGAGGGTAACAGGTCCGTGTCACGCCACGGGACGGCACGTGTGGAGACCGCGCCGCACTTAGCGCAGCGCCGCCCGTTTTATCCGCGCTGCGGGAGGGACAGGCACGGGTTGATTTCACACTAGTTGCGGCGGATACTAAACATTTTTTTTTTATCATGAAAGTTCATCTGTGTTGGAGGTTACACTTGGTCAGTCTACTGAGGAAGACCAGAGTGACTAATCTAGAGAAGCGCTAGGTGAGAGAACTGTTTTGTGTTGGACCATGTTTAGACCAAAAGTTTTAGTAACTCTAAACATGTAACTTTCTTTTTTATTCCAACATTTCATGGCTAGACATGGTGACGGCACACTCAAGTTATGTCAACTTATTTCATACCATCACCAACGCAGATAGAGGACAAATACGGAACAGGACAATACTCATTTTACCTGAGTAAAAAGTCGTGTAAAGTGTATTTTTCAAGGGCACAAGATCGGCGGCATGTCAGGACTCGAACCCAGGACCTCTTGGTTGCGAGTCGAGCACTCTGCCGCTACGCCACACGACCCCACGCACTAAACATTGGATCGTCTCTCTAGCCGTCATCCTTCTGGAGTTCAACTACTGAATATGAAGAAATGAGCGACAATCGTACTGTGTATGTGAAGAACAATTTTACAACAGTTCTTACAAAGCATACGTATGAGGTCATAATGAAATTGAACATGTCATTTGTTTGGCTGACACCTATCCTCATACTAAATATAAAAATGATCAAACTGCAACTTATTAAGCACTGTTCAAAAACACAAAGACGGATCCGGACATACACACACATGCAAACACACATACATGCATACGCATATGCCGTTCGTCCGTCACATATACATACGCATATGCATACTCACACACAGTCACGCGAATACAAAAACACTCAGACATACAGACATCTTCTTTTGAACACTAGATCCCCCCCCCCCTCCTCCTCACACACACACACACACACACACACACACACACAAACGTGTACACACATACAAACCTGGAAACATGAACGTTTTCACAAAATTAAAGATATGTGCTTAGAACATGATATATTCCCAGACCATTTCTTTCATTGGAACAAAATAAACAAGTCTCACATACTAGTATACACATCAGGAGTCGATTATCAGTGCCATTATAACTTCGCCTCCCTGCGTTTAGCGACACCGAGCGAAATAGCGGCAAATGATATGAATTTGTGTAGCGCGGACTGCTCCTGATGATACCCGTTAGAGAACCTCCTCGTGCGCCCGCTACTCCTGCGTGACTCAGCCCCGCACAACTTCCGCCCATCACGACCCACGGTTTTCAGCTAAGGCCACAGCAAGTCATTTTTATGGATGACATCAGCGCGCGCATTAATTTTCGCCTGATTTTGGAAATAAATTTTGTTGCCTTCTGACAGTGGTCATCATGCCGAAAATGGGCAAAGATGTCTGTTGCCATGCCAGAACTTGGATGGCAGATAACTATAAAGAGAGCTGACAAGAAAAGGCTCTGATTTAATGTTTTGTTTCTTACTTTGATGCAGTGATGTGT